AGGCTCCCCTGGGGGTACACCCCAAGTCAACCAGTCACCTCCCTCCCCGATGCACGGGAGCGTCACAGACTCCCGAGCAAAGGTGCGATACGTGAGCCAAAATGACTACACGCTCTCTCTCTCTCTTCTTCTGCACGCTCTCTCTCTCTCTCTCTTTCTCTCTCTCTCTCTCTCTTTTTCTCTCTCTTTTTCTCTCTCTTTTTTTTCTCTCTCTCTCTCTCTCACAAGCGCAGCACGATGGAGACGAGACGGAACATCCAAATATCTTGACCATGCCCTGCTGGCATTCGGCCTCAACGAAGAGGCCCTGTTCGGCTAGCCGAGTTCCCCGATACAGCACGTCGTTTGCATCACACACCATGGCTGCGATCGGCCTTTACTCGTGCAGTTGGGGAGTTGTCTGAAGGCTGGAAGACGAAGGAGTTGTTACAAAAATGCATTAGCGTGACTTGGCGGTGCTCCGGCAATGCGTTGCAAGATATTGCGCCATAATGCAACTTATGCTACACGCAAATGCGTACAGCATGCATGCACATATCCATGTGTCCCTTAATGCGTTTTTGTGTGCATGCATACGTGGGGATGTGTGTACATGTGCGGCATGCATGCATGTGTGCATAATCATCTATGTACATAGCAAGGCTTACCATACATGAATGCTGACTGCACGGCTGTTGCAGCTCCGTGCTCGAGCATGATGTGACTGTTAGTGTGGGCAACCATGAAGCGCTCAGCGGCAGACGATCCAGCCTAAAAACACAGAGCTGCCCCTTTCACTGCAAGCTCCAGGCGGTGGATCGCGGGTGTCGTTCAGCCCGGCGGAGGCAGCGACCATCAAGGGTGTGCGGCCTGGGGGCCGAGGGGGGAGTCTGTCTGGGCTGAAGGCTACAGGACTTTTTCCAAACTGAAAGGCACTGTCATCCATCAAGAATCGTGCTGCGGGCAACATAGCGGTGCCTTGCTTGTCGATCAGCCCAGGGTGTGCCTGCCCAGCATTACATGACTATACGCAGGAAACTCTGAGCCGCATAAAAGACTGGCAGCACGAGTGGTCCGTCATCAAGAGATGCATGTTGGGATGTCGGGCTTGGGATGGGCTCTGCCTTGTAGGTCGGCCCTCTCGCACTCTGCAGCAGGAATAGCGTTGCGGGTTTGGCGATTTTGGGACTGAAGAGTGCCCGAGTGACCGCTGAGATTCCTCCTGCGAGCCCATCACCAGGCCTTCAAAGCCAGCAAAGCCTTCGCCGCCTGTAAGCATGGCGGCTGGAATCCATTGCTTTCGGGTTGAATCTTCAGTCACCGATTCGCAGTTAAGCATCCAGCACCTTAGGGTTGCCTAGTAGCGTGCTTACGTCCCGGTCGGTTGTTGCGACCAAGCTCAGCCTCAGGTACCTGAGTCGCCTCGGAACTGAGGTGCAAGATAGTTTTAAAACAGCACGTGTTGATGACTTAATTGCTGTTTACAGTGCAGGAAATGTTTCCCGGATGCCAACCTTGCACTAAACCAATTGACTTTGCACACCATGCTAGGGTCTGTCGACAACTACCTGCGCTGCGACAGCAACAGCAGCAAACAAAGATCCGCTCTGACCCGCCTCATGTCGGCCTTAGTTCCAGCATGACCGACCAATTACGAGATTGCGTATTCGCCACTGGGGGACAGCCTCAGAAAAAAATTGGGGGCTGCATGTGTCCAGAGATCACAGAATATGTCTGTACCTGCACATGACGCAAATGTCTAGCAACTGAAACCTCTTGGGAAAGCCTGCCACCAAGCACGGGCTGAGGCCCGTGGCCCAAGCGAGCTGCAAGGTGTAGCGGGGTCAGGCCTGCAAAGTCTTGACCGTTGACCTGTCGCGCAGGGCCAGCCCGGCCGAGGTGAATCGCATGGGAGGCAGGTGCCGGATTGGATTTTGGCAAATTCAGATCGCAGAAGATCGCAGAAGCACTTGTGAACCACCAGGCTTCGACCCCAATCCCTCCATGCGCCTCTCCCTTCAGGCTGGCGATCAGCCGGAGCCTTGCTCAGGCAGGCTGGCATTGCGATTCAGAAAGTAACAGTCATGCGGACATGGAAGGCTACATGACTTGCCCCCCCCCCCCCGACTTTGCGGTGTGTGAATGCGCTTACTCTCCGCACTTCCAAATGTAATCTTTGCATATGAGTTGCGGCTGAGATGTCTCGACGCCTGCTGCTTACCCTTCCACAAACCCCGATCGCAAGCACAATCACTGCTTTGCGGGCAGTCTTGATTTCTGAGCCAAGGGCATTGCACAGGCTTCTTCCTGACAAGGCAGCAGCAATTTTCGCACAGCAACTGAAGCTATGAAAACAACAACACGAGCATTCGAGCATGCAAAGACCCTGAGCCTGCTGTTCGCAGCAATTGTCCGTTTTGATTCGGTGTCTTGTTACATTTGTTTGGTGACATGCTCAATCTTTGTTGAAATACTGAAGCCCTATGCCCATCTTTGGTGTCTCAATGGGAATTCAAGGATGGAAGCTTCCGACTGAAAGCCAGTCTCCTCTTCGCCGATGCACATGATGGCGACGTGTGCGCACTGCCGTCCCTGACATGAGCTGGCCATCGCTAGGTTCTGCAGGGAAAGGCTTTCAGCATCTCGACTCAGGAAGATGCTAAAACAACATTTCCTGGGTGGAGAGCCTGCCCCACACTGTCACACCGAGACCACAAAGTAAAAACCCTCAACATGACATTGACGAAGCTTCACAAACATGTATGAATATTTAGCGTTCACTCTGACATCTCGGAAATGCTCTTCCCTGCGTCACGATGCCTGGGCGTCTCGAAAGTGGATGTTGGCTAGGCCAGTTCCCATGCCATCGCCAACCTTGGGGCATGCACCATGCATGCACCGGCTACTCATCCATGCAAGTCATGGAAGTAGTAACCTTGAATTTCTTTCTTCACAAGCAAGAACCATGACCAAGAGCCAGGTGGTGAACAACAGAACCTCGAACCAACAACGGAAATTCTGCGTCTTATGACAATGAGAGCGAGGAGGAGCTAAAACACAGCTTCTCCTGGTCCCACTTGGGCCCCAACTTGGACAAGCTGGATCACGGACATCCGATCATTCGCGCCCACAACGCGTAAGAGCTCCTCTCAATATTTCTCACTGACTCGAACTCGAGGAAGGACCCTTCAACTCCCCTCCAAGGACTGAAATGTGATCTCGCCAATGCCCCCAGTACCAATGGCTCCAGATTCTTGAGGATGTTGAACTTGGCATCCGCTTTCTCCGCCCTGCTATGCAAAAGAGACCAAAGCACCAAGAGCTCAGAAAAGGTTTCAGAAACGCAATGGCTCGCTAACAACAACCGCGATCTTCATCTGCCAGAAAATGGCGAAAGCCGGCAAGCACGCTGCAAGTCCCTGAACTCAAACTATAAGCGGCCGTGGCAATGCATCCGGGAAGCTCTTCCAGCATCTCTTCCCGCTCCGGTGTGACGGTCCAATCTTGGGGTACGCTCGCTTCCAGCGATTATGACTGACTAAAAACTTAACAGGCGACTGGGTTACTATAAGTACGCGCAATGCGCGGGAAGTCGTGCCGTGGCATCATGCTCGAGCAGTGTCTAGTACGTGAAGGCGAGCCTGCAGATGATGGCCAGCGGCCGGACATGAGAAGAAGAAAGCATACGTGGCTTCAGGGAAACACCCAATGTCAAGACGATGGGTAGCGAATGAAGGTCCTTCCATCCGAGACAGTGATGGAAACACAGTCCCATACACCCGGAAGGGCTACAAGACACCCTGTAATCTCCTCGAAAGAGGGAAAAAGAGAGAAGATCAAAGTCCGGCAAGGACCCACCTCCAAATCAACCCGTCAAGGTATCAGGGGAGGGTGGGTGGGACAGAAAGTGCATCAAAGATCGACTTCGAAGACGTTCGCTTTCAAGACCTTAGCGGGCCTTACAGCAACCAACCATACAACTAAGAATCAAATGCGAAGACTTGCTCGGCATCAAGCTTTGGAACAAAAGTGCAGATGCAGCATGCTGCACATCATGACTCCGAAAGCTCCAAAGAGTGCGGCAGTGCACTAGCTTACCACAGTAGCATGTACACGTGGGAGTCGAGTACACGACCATAGACGATCGCACATGTGAGCGTTTGCCTTAAAGCTCGACATGATGGCCATTGAACCAACCATGGATGCTTTGGGGCATCTTGCGATTGCCTGAAGACAACATTATTTATCAAGTTGGATATGTGTATGGAGCAGGTGTCCGGAAATGGGGCTGAAGACGG